TTATGTATAAAGTTACACTTAAGCCCTAGCTTAATATTAATTACAATTGTTCACTTTACAATTTTAATTACCGACACATTTACATTAAAGGCGTGGTTCTGGATTGAATTATTCAGTAATTGGCATTGTTGGGGTGAAGGATTTTTTTGCGGTTCTCTGCCCTCCATTTAACTAATAATAAGTTTATAAATTCCAACAGGAAAAAATTACCATGTTTATTTCTGTCGCGAAGTTACTACTGACAATGTTTAATTAGATTTATTTTGCATTTGGGGTAAAATATGTGGTCATGTTCTCCAGTTATCTTTATATGAAGCCGTGACTTTTCACAACTTAGTAGAATCAAGGTAGGGCATTGCTTGCCTCAAAAAGTCTTCAGTGACAATTAAATTACTTGACATGGAAAATCAATGACAAGTTATTTGTCATATAAAATGAGTTTAAAATTAAATTTATATGTAAATTTACGTCAATTGATTTCAGCAACAGAATANTTGAAAAATAATCTGCCTCCTAACATCTTCGATCTTTCCGCTTTGTAAAATTATGTATAAAGTTACACTTAAGCCCTAGCTTAATATTAATTACAATTGTTCACTTTACAATTTTAATTACCGACACATTTACATTAAAGGCGTGGTTCTGGATTGAATTATTCAGTAATTGGCATTGTTGGGGTGAAGGATTTTTTTGCGGTTCTCTGCCCTCCATTTAACTAATAATAAGTTTATAAATTCCAACAGGAAAAAATTACCATGTTTATTTCTGTCGTGAAGTTACTACTGACAATGTTTAATTAGGTTTATTTTGCATTTGGGGTAAAATATGTGGTCATGTTCTCCAGTTATCTTTATATGAAGCCATGGCTTTTTACAACTTAGTAGAAATCAAGGTAGGGCATTGCTTGCCTCAAAAAGTCTTCAGTGACAATTAAATTACTTGACATGGAAAATCGATGACAAGTTATTTGTCGTATAAAATGAGTTTAAAATTAAATTTATATGTAAATTTACGTCAATTGATTTCTACTGTTGACACAAGAGTCATATAAATGCAGCAACAGAATACCTCATGTCTGTCACAACATTGTTTATGGGTCATAAGCAAGATTGCAATGAACATTTATCAGTGTTCTCTGCAAATGAACATTTTCTCAGTTTGCTGAGAAAACTATATGTAGTGGTATACACCACACCAAGTGGAGACTTGGACGACTCAGAACTGGGAATAATTTCTAGCTTACCCCTGAGTCATAATTGTTATATAATTCTGACCTTCTGTGTTACATTGGAGCTTTGATGTGGATTGATCTCAAAGGGCTGTTTAAGTATTTAAAATTG